TACGATGAATAAAGAAATACCTTTGGTGCCTTTAGGTGCGCCAGGAAGACGGGCAAGTACAATGTGAACAATGTTCTCAGCCATGTCATGTTCACCCGCTGAGATAAAGATTTTCTCACCAGTGATTGCATAGCTACCGTCAGCTTGTGGCTCAGCTTTAGTACGGATAATACCCAAGTCAGAACCAGCGTGTGATTCTGTTAAGCACATCGTACCTGTCCAAACACCTGAAACAAGGTTTGGTAAGTAAGCATCTTTTTGTTCAGCTGAACCGTGATGTTCTAAAGTACGAACTGCACCATGAGAAAGACCTGGGTACATACCCCATGCCCAGTTTGCAGTACCGACCATTTCTGAAATCACGTTACCCAAAGAAACAGGTAATGCTTGACCGCCATATTGCTCTTCAGCAGAAAGAGACGGGAAGCCAAGTTCGATATATTTTTGATACGCTTCTTTAAAGCCAGTTGGAGTTGTAACAACGCCATCATTCCAAGTACAACCTTCGCGGTCGCCACTTTGGTTGATTGGAGACAATTCGTTTTCACAGAAATCTGCAGCAGCTTCTAAATATTGGTCAACCAATTCACGGCTTACGGTTTCCTGAAATGCAGGCAATTTAGAATAGTGTTCTTCTGCATTCAATAGCTCATGCAGTACGAATTGCATATCACGTAAGGGCGCTTTGTATTGTGGCATATCGGTTTCCTCAATACTGGTTTAACCAGCTTATAATCCTAATAAACATAAAAACGTGTCTTCTTTGACACGGATTGGAATAACTTAATCGTGCAACATCTTCTAATTTGGTACAAGCGGTTCGGGTGCTTTTCTTGGTGACTGTAAAGTCAAATAAATATTATTCAAAATCGCTAAGTGCACTGAGTGTAAACAGTTTTGCTGCTTTTGGCATGACATAAATAGTCAAAAAGCGTAAAAAGTTATGTCCAAGAAAAAAGGCGCAATTTGCGCCTTTTTTATCTATTTATGCTTTTTAGAGTGGCTTAAGCGGCCTTATTCGGTGCTGAAACTGGGGCTTTAGGCTGGAAGTGAACCATACATTTGCCATCTACTGTTTGTGTGCCGACTTTTAGCTGCACGGCTTTACCATCGGTTTGACCTTGGCAGGCTTTGGTCGCAGCTTGTTGACGCGCTTGACGTTCAGCTAAACGTTGATCGTATTGCTGGGTTAACTCAGCACGTTTCGCATCGGTTAGTGGTTCGCCGCGTTGCATATGCATACCACGGAATTCACCACGATCGGCTTGATCACCACGCATTGGGCGATGTTCACCACGTTTCATTTCATCACGGTTCGGTTTAAATGAAATCGCACATGTGCCTTCTAGTGTTTGCTCACCTGCTTTGACTTGGACTGCTGAACCCACCGCTTTGCCATCGCAGGCTATTTTAATGTCTTGCATGACTTGTTTACGTTCAGTACGCATTTTTTCAAATTGTTCGCGTTGTTCAGGTGTCATGTGACGGTCTTTCTGATAATGACCATGCATATGTTGCGACTGCTCCATATCTTTTGGTGCTTGGGTGGATTGACAAGCAGTCAACACACCTACAGATAAAACGCTGGCAGTGGCTAAAGCAATTTTTGTCATCTTATTCATTCTACAACTCCCCCATACAAGAGCATGTCATTTTGGATGATTAAAGATTAAATAATAAAGATGTAGAAACAATGGAGAGTTTTTTGGTGCAGTGTTCTATACAATAACAAGGCAAAAGAATGACCGAGAGATTGCTTTTGAAGATTCGCCGCGTACCGATTGCTTTACGCTTATTCCTCACTGTATTGCTGACCACTTTGGTGATTACCACGGTGAGTTTAGGTGTGTTGCATTGGACGATGCAAAAGAATTTTGCCAAATATGTGGCGGACGTGGAAATGCAAAAGCTCGATCATCTGATTGATAACTTAGCAGGCGTTTATAGCACTTATCATGACTGGGGCAATGCCATTCAAGCGCAAATTTTGCAGATTGAAGGACATGCCGCGCCAGATGATTATGACCGTCTCTCTCGTTGGTGGTTGCGCCGCCAGTACGACATTGCTTTGCAACAGCGTTATTTTAAAGAAAATACCAAAACCTTACTCAGTGATGTCTCTACCACTGAAGTCAAACATGAAAAACAGATTTTAACCGAACAAGAACTGCAAGCTTTGGAGGAAAACTTACCTTCGGAGTTTCAACCCTTTGAAGGTTTAAAGTTTCCGCTCAGCGCCAATCAAAATGTGTTCCGCCCAGATCGTAAAAAAGAAGAGATTGAACAAGAGAGCAAACAAAACACAGGCAAAAAACAATTTATTTCCACGCCTGACCGTTTGGGTCTTAGCTCGCGTTTGTCTTTATACGATACGCAGCGTCAGTTCGTGGTCGGTGAACCCTCGGATGATCAAGTTTCTTTCCGTCCTATTGTGGTGAATAACCAAGTGGTGGGGTACTTGGGGCTGAAACCAGTCCTGGATCAAGATGATGCGTTGAGTATCAACTTCTTTAGTAATCAAAAGCGTTATTTATTACTGGTCTATGGTTTAACCGTTTTTGCCAGTTTAATTGCTGCGTTGTTACTTGCGACTTATTTTAAGACACCGATTCAACGCTTGTTGAACGGTACGCGTGAATTAACGAAGGGTAATTTTCAGCATCAAGTTAAAGTGAATCGAAACGATGAGCTGGGTGATTTGTCCAATGAACTGAACCAACTGGCGGTGATTTTAGATCAGCATGAAATTTCACGTCGTCAGTGGGTGTCAGATACTTCGCACGAGTTGAAAACACCGCTGGCAGTGTTACAAGCACAGATCGAAGCGATGCAAGACGGTATTCGAAAACCAACGCCTGAGCATTTTGAATCGATGTTACGCCAAGTCACCAGTTTGAAAAAACTCACGCATGACTTGGCAGATTTGGCACAAGCGGAAGCACAACAATTAAACTGTTACTTTGCAACCGTGAACCCGTGGGCGGTGATTGAGCAAGAAGTGGAAAACTTTAAGCCTAAATTTGAACAGGCCCATTTAAGTATCAGTGTCGAAGGCGAGGGCGCTGAGTTACAACTTGATATTGACCGCTTTAAGCAAATCATGGTCAATTTGTTGGGTAATAGCATTCGTTATACCGAAGCAGGTGGTCAGGTTCGAGTTCATACGGAACAGTCTGCAACAGATTGGACAGTCTATGTCGATGACAGTCCATATGGTTTAACTGATGAGCAGTTGGCACGACTCGGTGAGCGTTTCTATCGAGTCGATGATTCGCGTACGCGGAGCACAGGTGGTACAGGTTTAGGTTTGGCTTTATCGGCTAAACTGGCACAGGCTTTAGGCGGCGAATTGAGTTTTGATCATTCGCCTTTGGGTGGTTTACGTTGCAAGTTAACGTTCCCAAAAAAATGAAACACAAAAGGAAGTATGTATGAAACATATTATGCTGGTTGAAGATGAAGTAGAACTTGCACAATTGGTCCGCGATTATCTTGAAGCAGCGGGCTTTGAAGTCAGTATGTTTCACGATGGTCAGGACGCATTTGATAGCTTTACGCAGCGTAAACCGAGTCTCATGATTTTAGACTTGATGGTGCCGCGTATGGATGGCTTGACCATTTGCCGTAAAGTCCGTGAACAGTCGGATTTGCCGATTATTATGGTCACTGCACGTACGGAAGAAATCGACCGTGTGCTTGGCTTGAACATGGGGGCAGACGACTATGTGTGTAAACCCTTTAGCCCGAAAGAATTAGTGGCGCGTGTGCAAGCCGTGTTACGTCGTTTAGAGCGTAAGGCTGAGCCTGAAGATCAGTCTTTGTTCCGTATGGATAAAGCGCAGCAACGCATTTGGTATCAACAAAAGCCTTTAAACCTAACGCCGACCGAGTTTCGTTTACTGGAGTTGTTTTTAGAGCATGTGGGGCAAGTCTATTCACGTGCGCAGCTACTGGATCATATCAACCCAGACAGCTTTGAAGTGGCTGACCGTGTGATTGATAGCCATATTAAGAACTTACGTCGTAAGATTTCGGATGCAGCTGAAACAGGTAACCGTCATGAATGGGTTCAGGCGGTATATGGAGTAGGCTACCGTTTTGAATATCCTGAAGATTAATTCAGTTTTCTGAACGATAGAAGAAGCGGATAAGCCTAGGCTTATCCGCTTTTTTTTATGGGATTCAAGCAAAGATGGCAATCAAAATCAGCAGTTCGCTTAAATCTCCAACTGGTGAATGAAGCCGAGCAATCGGCGATTTTAAAGGACAAGACTGGTTGATCGTCTGTGCAAGCGGTACAATTCATTTTTTTATCAGATGAGCATGTGTTTTGAGCAGCGAGACGCCTAAACTTCAGCGCCGTTTAAAGAACCGCCATATCCAGTTGATCGCCATGGGTGGTGCAATTGGCACAGGGCTGTTCTTAGGTTCAGCACATATTATTGAATCTGCTGGCCCTTCGATTATTTTGGGTTATATGATTGGCGGTTTGATTGCATTTTTAATTATGCGTCAGCTCGGTGAAATGATTGTGCATGAGCCAGTGACGGGTTCATTTAGCTACTTTGCCTTTAAATATTGGGGGCGGTTTTCAGGCTTTTTAACAGGCTGGAACTACTGGGTACTGTATATCTTGGTGGTGATGACTGAGCTGACCGCGATTGGCAAGTATGTGAATTACTGGTGGCCACATATTCCTGCGTGGGTCTCGGTGCTGGTGTTTTTTGTGGTGATCACACTGGCCAATCTTGCCAATGTCAAACTGTATGCGGAGTCTGAGTTTTGGCTGTCGATGATTAAAGTTGTGGCGATTATCGCCATGATCATCTTCGGGGTTTATCTGTTGTTGACGGCTGATGTCGGTTCAACTGCATCTGTCACGAACTTATGGGCACATGGCGGGTTTTTCCCACATGGCTTTGAAGGCTTGTTTTATATGCTGGCCTTTATGATGTTTGCCTTTGGCGGTATTGAGCTGATCAGTATGGCGGCTGCGGAAACCGAAGATCCTGAAAAGAACATTCCAAAAGCCGTCAATCAAACGGTGATTCGGGTTTTCCTATTCTATATTTGCTCGCTGGCGATTCTTTTGTCTTTGGTGCCTTGGAATCAATTGGATTTGGGTGGCTTAGATAAAAGTCCATTCGTACTTATTTTTAAGCAAATGGGCATTGATTGGGCAGCGCATTTACTGAATTTTATTATTCTGACTGCATCGGTTTCTGTTTGTAATAGTGGGATGTATGCCAATAGTCGCATGCTATTAGGTCTGGCAGAACAGGGCAATGCTCCACAAGTTTTTAAGCAGGTGAATCGACAAGGGACACCGATTGCGGCGGTTTTATTTTCAGCATTACTGATTTTTGGTTGCGTGCTGTTGAATTACTTTTTGCCTGAAAA